AGTAGTAAACTATTTTAATCGTATATTAATTTTTTTTATCACCTTTCTAAAACAAGTAAAGACTATAGTGACTTCAGATTTATATTTGAGAGGATAGAACTATGTATATTTAGTTATGATTGATAGGACAGACTAATATATATTTAGTGAAGTAATCTAAAAAATATATTAAAATCTAAAATTATCAAAGACGTTCCAAAAGAATTTTATGTGATTTGGAGTAAGAATTTTAAGTTATAATTCTATTTGAAGGGAATAATGAGAAATTAGCTATTGTTGAATAAAAGATAATAGATAACCAAAGCGATCATGCCACACATCTATTAGAAAAACAACTAAAACAAGAGTAATTGGTTGACTGATTTGTGAAGTTGATGGTCACATGTAGATATTATCTTTCTTTTTTTTTTGCCTCGGACTAAGGATACCCCCATGCTTAAATCCTCTACAAGAAAAGAGTCAAGAAAGAACTAAATAGAGGTATTATTTTATTTACAGAATTGAGAGATATAAATAAGGTTTTTTTTATATAAGATGTACAAAAAATATTATCAAGTGTACAAGTATTTGTGTGTGAATTAAGTATCGTGGAACTAGTATGAGCGATAGAGGTTTCATTATAATCACCAATAATGATGTCTACATTGTGTCCATAGTTGGTGCTGATAAAATCTATAGATCATAAGTGATATGATGGGAAGTGTTGGGAAATCTTGGGGCGACATTACATGCGTAATGGAATAACAGAAAAAAAATCTTAGATTTCCACAAAAAAGGTTTCATCATCGTGCGAAGATTAATGCGTAAAAACTCGTGAAACTGAAAACTACACGGATAAGAAAGATGTGTTACATAGGGAGATCGAATATCTCTGAAATTCTACAGATCCGTGGGAGAGGATGAAGGAGGTCAATTGTCCTCCTCTTTAACAGTGATTCATACACTATGGGCTATGAAGATGCTCCTCACATCGCTACCCAAATCTCCACACGCCCCAAATAAGGGCTGTTGGCTGAGGAGGAGAAGGGAAGAAGAGAATAAGAGGTGACAACCAAAAAGGGGTCTAACTTATATATAGAGATCCATTGTCAACTTAACCCTAATGGATCCTGCCATTTTGGGTAATGGATCTACATCCAACTACCCAAGCCTCTTAGATTAGTGGATTTATACTAAATAATCTCTTACTGGCTCTTATTGGATCTCATCTATATGATCCAGTAATTCATGGGTTTATTGGATATCCAACAATATAAGGGCTCTAGCGGATATCTCATATCCGAACATCTACTTATCACAGCACCATACCATATATGTGTGACTCTCTAGGCCCAATATCGAGCTGGCCGTGAGTCATACATATCAGAACTTTTTTTAGCTTAGTGAATTATTATTTTCATAATAATTCACTTGACTCATCGAATAAACGAATTAGGCCACTACGCTGCAGTCCCCAAATAATACAGGGAAATCCAATCCATTAGACATGTTTGTCCTTAGTTACTGTGTACTTATAGTCTCTCATCAATCTAATATCTTAGAGACCGTATATCAGGCATAGTGTTGTCAAGCCCGTACGGTTTTTACTCGAGTCTCGCTCTAATCAAATTCTCTCAAAAACTCTTTCTCTCTTAATCCGAATGACCATAGCTAGGGATTTGCCTAAGTAAGAACACATGAGATATTTCTCTCATTACACCGAGAATGGATGATCCTCTATCGACACTCAATTGCCCTCGTAAAGTTAGCTGTCACTCCCGATGACCAACTGTGCTAGATTTGAAACTTTCAGACCTATAAGTTTGGTATTAAAGAATGGAGTACTCAAACAAGACATCCTTGGTGTCTCAAGTCTAAGGATCAGATACATAACTAGGACGACGGAATCACTATCTGACAATGAGGTATCATCAACCATTAAACATTCTGTAAGTGGATCAATTAGTGAACTCATTCTCCAATGAGCACCTGCACTACATCCCTAGTGTCCCCATACGAGCAACGGGACATTGAGTAACCTATGACCGGGATTATTTATGGTCTATGTTTAAAGACGAATCAGCCTCATTATCGTGATCTCATCACAATCCGATTCTCAATGCACAGATCCATGAATATCATAATACATGCAACAAACAATATAAAGTGAGAAAATACCAAATAAATAATAAGAAAAAGAGTGTGTATTATGTCACACGTGTCATCACTCACATGATTGGTTTGCATGACACCTATGACTAGTAGAAAGCACCAGAGTTAACCATCTAATTGCTTGGATGAGCAATCAAAATAGTCATAATGTTTGCTTGAGATCAGTACGATGTAGTAGTAGGCTTAGGTCGAGATCGATAAACTTTTATTATGTCTAATTTTATCACAAAGGTAACATATGACTTTTTACTAATTGTTGTTGTTAGGATGCCAGAACTATTCATAGTTATAGTGATTATTATTGAAGTTATTTCCTAAGTTATTTGAGTTAAAGAACTATTGATAGTTATATTGATTATTATTGAAGTTATTTCCTAAGTTATTTGAGTTAAAGTTGCTATTAAAGATGTCATTTACTAATTGTTATTGTTAGGATGTCAGAACTATTGATAGTTATAGTGATTATTATTGAAGTTATTTCCTAAGTTATTTGAGTTAAAGTTGCTATTATAATTGGAGAGTTGATAGTGTAATAAAGGATGATGACTTTATGTGTTACCCATGTGCCTAGGAGACATCTTGTTCAATCAGTTCATGTTGCTTTGATTATTCTTTCTTTAGATTTTAATTGAATTGATCTGTGATAGTTGGTCTTGTCTTTCTCTCTTCTTATTTCAGATATGTTTTATGATTAATTAACTTATCATATAGTTCTTTGAATGACATTGGTGGGTTACGTGCCTAAATTGTTATCACCTATTCTTTATATTCCGAGGCTATTAAGGATATAAACAATGACTTCTTTTAGGGGATGATATATTAAAGTTAAGTCACCTATAATAACTTTTAGATTTTGCATATAATAAGTAACATTACTTTTACTCTTATATTATATTTTTCATAGTAAATAAAAGACTCGAGTGCTGAGAACGATTGACCAAGATGGTTTGTGACTTAGACCATGCATATGCTATAGTACTATATGAAGAGATTAGTGATGCTATGGAGTCAATAATCAAAGCTTGAACGACTTACAAAATAGATGTAATCATAATTTATGATTAGAATTTATTATTAACATTAGTTCTCATAGCATTTGAATATATTTGGATGAACAATTGAGGGAGCCATCAATGTGGCCCAGTTGATCATATCGGATGAGAAGGTTGGTGAACTGTGTTTGTCATGATGTATAATTACCATCCTTGGATAACTTGAAAGAAAGAAGAGTGGCTGCATTAATGAATATGAGCCTAGTAGATTGAGAAGAACTATTATTTTTGGATGAAATAATAATTGAAATGTGAGAGGAAGAAGACATATTTGATGATGAGTGATGTCACCTTCTGATAAATTTCAATCAGATTTAGAATGGTTCATATATGATGAATGAGGTGGAATAAATCTAAAGTAGCTTAGATCTAGAAGAGATCAAATAGATCAGATCTGATAAAGTAGTGGTCTTTGTTGTCTATCTTCTAATCTGATCAGATTTTATGAGGTGGAACAGATCTAGATGAGGAGGCACCAGTTGATGTGGAAAGACCAACAACCTAGGCTTCGATAATGTGCAATGAAGAAGGAACCCGTCTACCATTCTCGATTTGAGAGGACGACAATGGGATATGATGTTCACGAGGAAGATCGAAGATGCAATGAAGGAAAATGACGAGGCAGTGGCAAGAAGTCCTATTGTCGTGTGAGATGCAATAATATTCGACATATCTATTATGGAGGAGAGTCATGATGACCAGATCGAGGTCGACCTCTGGTGAGATATTGCTATGATCGCTAAGCAAAACATAGACCACATAGCAGTAGAACTTGGCATATCCAGCTTATGAGGAAGACCGTCAACGTGTGAAGGAGATCGTCAGGGCAGAACAACGAAGAACAGATATGAGCAGAGACCATCGACGTGAAGAGCAGGTTGTAACCAGCTCTGAGTGCTGGTCGTGGACACTAGCAATGGTCACGGTGGCCAAGAGAAGAATAAGAGAGGGAGGGAGGAAAGGAAGGAAGGCACTCTTAAAGTGAAAGTTTGAAGCCTCCTCATTCCATCCTTACCATTCGAAAAAACAAAAAAACACAATATGATCACATACTACTAGGAAACAAAAAATACTTTATGCATTGCAGTTGGGTGTTTCAGTGAGACTTTCTCTGCTAAGTAGTGGATGTTGAAACATCTAAACAAATACATGTTTCACGGACCTTAGTTACGATTCTGTAAGTAGTGAGACACCTCTGCAACACTTGTTAGCATGCGTTAGCTAGATTTCAACCTTATGTAGTCCCAAAACATCCATCTAAAAAGGTAAAGAGTTAGTCGAAGAGGCAAATGACATACAAAATATTATCGTCTTCCGAAAGGTGCAATAATTGATTGCAACAAGAACTTAATTCGGCAGCTGCAGTTTCAAATGGCAGAAAGTCCCCGGATGTCACAAGCCTTGCTATTTACAATCATACAACGGAGAATGATGACAACGAACAAAAGATGAACTGTCACAACGACAAAGGTGAGTGACGAGGGTGATTTCGCCATGATCACCGGTCGTCTGCCGCCGCACGTTTATCGACAAGAGAAATGTCCTGTTCCTCGATCAAGCGAAACATGCACCCACTATAGATGTGACCTTAAACCTGACGATGTACCAGAGTTAGTGGTATCCCTTCAATTATTGCACGAGTTAACCAAAATAAGGTTTCCCATGGAATGGAAGGTGGATGGGAATAGCTCGGCAAATTATTGTAGATATGGTAGGACCACCTTAAGTCATAGGTCAACTCCCCCCCTTCCCCCCCCCCCCCACGCTTACTTCCAAAATGACTAGAAGGTGGAAAGAGAACCTCAATTAGATGCACCCTGTTATTTACTTGTGCGACTGCTGGTTGCAGTCCTCTCCCACAGCTAGCAAAGAGAACACAGCTTCTCGGCGCCCGGAGAGTCGAATCTCACTCCTCTGCCTAATCCTTGAAGAAGTGGAGAGTACAGTCTCCATTGGCTCCAGAGAGAGGGAACAGTCACGTTGGACTCTTCCAACGTTTCTCTTACAACACGACGGCCGTCCACCATGGACGGGTTCGCTCCATAATGCAGTGGTGAATAGGACTCGTAGCATATGGTTCCAATGTGGCATTTTGACAAGCAGGTGGTACTCTACTTCAACTTGGCAACACGGACCACTTGATGTCCTGGTCGTCGTGGTACGACGACGTCGACGCCACTCTGAACCGAGTCCGGCACGGCAGGAGTCGAGCCGACTCGGAGTTGGGAAATCTTGAAACTTTCCTGGGGCTCAAACAGTAATCTCACCGACACAAGCTAATCTTGAGCCTGAAGATTTTGAGTGGAGGTCAACTATGCAGTCATATCCACAGATTAGACATTGAAAACGATAAAATTCATAGACATGGAGAGCATGGATTAGATATAAAAAGAAGTAGATGAACCAAAACCATCCGTTTTAGGTACGGCAAAGCTTGGACGAGTCCCTTAGGTACCTTTGTTAACATGAACCGATGCTGTAGAAAGATGCATGGCGTAGGAAGCCATCAACCAAAAGGAAGGGGATTTTACGATGCTTCGAGATGATATATATGATTTGTACCTAAAGGGGAACACTGGAACATTGATATGACTTGTATGCACAAAGATGACTTGTCCTCCAGATGCATTCTTTGACCATCACACCTTTCGGGTGTACATGCAACTTGGAACAAGATAAAATCTCTCTCTCATCGTATGGGTGGTACTAAGTTGTGTTTTTTCTGACTACATAGTGCATTTAAAGTTCTTATGGATTGCATGACAAATATCCACTCTACTGTTGTGTTTTTATCAATATTTCACTTTCTGAAAAGAAATCACTTCATTCAATGACTAATCAACAATACATATCTATCATGCTCCAAAAGATCCCTAGGTAAGTTAGTACCAGCAAGCATATGATCGTTCCTCTTACATATCATGTTCCAAAAGATCCTTAGGTCAATCAGACCACTTCCACTTGTTCCAACAAAAATTGCAAGCTTATGAGTGTTCTTGCCACCGTAATCTATGTGACTCCAGTTTTCGCATAATTCTATCTTAGTTATCGCTCACTAGGAAAAAAGACAGACGATTAAGGATGCAAGAGGATGACAATATGGAACATCTATTTCAGAAAGAAAAAGAGAGGGAATGAATTTTACTGCGAAGCTAAGAGAAGTATTCATACCCGAACATCCACAGGGAAACAAACGGTCCATCTCTGGAGACGGTCATGGCGGTCCCAAAAGTTGATGCCGACGACAATGATCCATGGTAAACCATACTCAGAAATATCATGTGGTAGGCACATGGATACCATTTTCTTCGACATAAATAATCTGTGTGATAGAATCTCCTTCCACAGCAGGAGTTTAAACATGAAGGTGGTCGGCCGTCATCCCAAGCCGCAAAAGTCTTTGCCATGAGTAGTGTGCTGTTTAGGTGTTGGGTAGTCATCACAATAATTGTTTCCGTGATGTTATTCCTTGCAACAAATCCGGCACTTGTCGCATGCAGGTGTTTGCATCACTTAATACCATAATCTAGTGCGATCAACACTCAATCCTCTTGCGTAGATGACCAAGCTTTCCATGTCATTCATGATCTAGTCCAATCAACAGTCTTCAACATATGATTTCCTTTATCCAGTTTGGGGGATGGGAAATCCACTAGATCAATCCCACTCATCAAGCTGGTGAGAGGTGACAAAATGTTTGGGTGCTGATTCACTCCACAGAAACATCAGAAATCTTGGAAAGTGATCTATGTCAACTCCCACCTGCCACCATGGGACGAGAGGTAGGCATGATCTCCTTGTGAGCAGCACATGAATGGTTTGCGGTTTGTGGGAGAGCCACGCAGGATGAGGGAGATTGGTTGCTTGCATGATCAACCACTCGATACCAGCATGGTGAACGGTCCTCGCTACAACACCTCTGCAAAGCTAAAATGCTAAAGAGACTTTCAAAGATTGCTGATGAATAGTGTTGTACTCCTGCGAAATATAAAAAGAAAGGACTGTTAGTTGATGGTAGTGATATTCCACTTTAGTTCTTATAAGCATCCCGTAACTGTGATGTTAACAGTAGATGACCTAAACAATGAAACTAATGGTCCAGCATCTCACTGATATGTAAAAGAAAGGAACTCACGAGCTGCAACATTCATTAGAGACAATATTAGATAGCTATGATAAGGATGAACCAGTCCTTTGGGTCGACATAATCATGAAATATCACACCAATATCTGCAGGTGCGGATATAAAAATCCATGTCACAATACCAAGGAATATTGAGGCATGATATAGTTGCACCTCCAATTTTCCAAGAGGACCACCAAACATCAGGACTCCAGGGGAAAGCCATACTTTGTTGGTCCACCTTGACCGATGTCCTGCCTGCCTTTGCCTATCCACCAAGTTCCACTGCTAAGACAACAACCAAATAATTAATGATGGTGCATCTTTTTCATATAGAATATAAGAACATGCTACGGCACCAAAACGTGGCTGATGAAAGACAACAGAGATTAAGAGAATGTTTCATGATCAATCATCCCCAGCTAATACATTGCACAAGATGAAGTTGACAGTGGATAATGCGGAATAACAGCGGATTACTAGTCACTGACGTAACAACAGCCTTCTTACCTCAGTTGAGATGAGGTAACTGGGGTGCCATGTAGAACTCACAAGCTACACTGTGTCAGATGTCATGGTACATCTCAAAAAGCAACCACAAAGAGCTAAAGGAGAGTCTTGCCACCATATTCGTCTCACACCAAAAATGAAGGAGAAAACAATAACACCAATCTACAAATCTCGATCAGGTTATGCAGTATCCTTTTGAATGATAACAGAAGGACTAATGAAGCAGTGGGCTAATCCTTAGGCCATAGAACCTTTCAATTATGTGGACCAATTCACTTTGAGGGACCATGAGATGGGACATGAGAGGTGAGCTAACCAAGGAATGGAAGATATCCCTAATTATTGTACAGAGCATCGGGGACTCGAGCTATTTAGTGATGGAGGTTAAAAATAAAAGAACCAACCAACCAATATGTGGATCAGGTTCCAGACCTATGGCATTTAAGATGTTCTTTCCCCTAGCTTCTTTGTCCAGTGAGGGGAAGACAGAAGGGAACATAAACTGTTAATATGGTAAAAGCTCTAAGGTGCTGTATCCTGTGTGCTCAGTCAGTACAGAGAACTCAAATGTCGCATTTGAATGCTGTAAACCCTCGGCTCTTCCTGATAACCATGACAACCTTAGCAACAGACCCTGTGACAAAGAGGTGATGTCCCATTCTTCCTCTGCATCAATCATTGAGTCATGATACCCACCACGAAGTTTGACATCTGAGTTATTCTACATCATGCAGACATTCATCATGGATGGATAGATAGATCTTCACAAAGATCAGACCACATGGTTTTCATTAAGCAACAGTTCATCCAAAAGGGCTGGGATTGAAGTTCTGTGATAACCATCTGCCGACATAGTACATGGCTTCACAAAGTTAAGTGGCACTTGTAACCCTTTTGAGTTACCACATAATCTGACTTGATCTTCGAATTGATGCATGAACTGAATTGCTACTTCTCACAATGTCACAAATTCCAAGGCCAACACTAGAAATATAATAGAACTTTGCTAGATTACTGCCATCAGAATGCAATGTCATAGTGCCAAGAAAAACAATATGGTTCAGGGAAAACTTATGAAGCTCACTGTGAAGAGAGAAAATGAAGTTTTTATGTCATGACCATCGAATAGCTCTTCTGAGCATCTTGGAACATTCATAGACTAGACATGCATCACCAGATGTGGTTCCATGAACATCTTCTGGCAAGTTTCAGGAAACTCAAAAATGGTGAGTGAGTTACAAGAAAATGAAGTCTTTCTGTTGTGACCATCCATCACGATAAGCTGAATACCTCTACTGAGAGTTGGTGCAATCTAAACTAAACATGCATCATTGTAAAATGTGGTGCCACGTCCATCTTCTGACATGTTTCAGAAACTCTAAAATGATGTAATTCCTCAAAATTAACTCCAAAGCGACTTAACATCACAAGGCCTCAATATGGTATGACGTTTCATGAAGAGTCGCTTCAAATCAACAATTTACATGGACATTCTAAAATTACATCCACCACAAACATGTAAGTAGAGTTTCCACCACCACATAACTTGTATCTTTCACATAAAGCCTCTATCCATTGTTTCAAGAAAATTAATGTTCTGACGTCAATTCAAAACACAATCTGTGGTTTTTCTTGCCCCTAATGATTAAATTCAAGTAAATTCCTGATGCCTTTTCCCTCTCATGACCTTTATATTTATTCATTCCCTTGCTTTGCATTTACCAACCAGCCCATAATATAGAGGGCAACAGACAGACAGCAAGTTTCACTTTGTTATATATACAACCACTCCCATCACCACTGAAATATCAATCAGACTACAAAAGCATCATAGTGCAGCCATGCTATTCTCTTGCACAAACTACTTTCAGCACTTCTGCAGCGATGGCTTCCAATTGGGAAACGGGGCATACAGTCCACACAGTGATCTTTTGCCATCACTTGGGGCAACAATAAACAATACAATTAAGCTCAGGAAACACATTGTTTCGCCATATGATCCTCGTTACAGGTATACCAACTCAACAGCCTCTTTGTTTCTAACATTTACATTTTGTAGAATCAGGCAGTTTATTTTCTTCCATTTTCACCAATCACTTTCAGATTGTGGGAGATGTTTCTGATACTCCTGGTTCTCTACTCAGCCTGGATCTGCCCATTTGAGTTTGCATTTCTACGATACCTGCCAAGCACAATCTTTCTTGTGGACAACATAGTCAATAGTTTTTTTGCAATTGACATTGTACTTACCTTCTTTGTTGCTTTCATCGACCACAAATCCTATCTCCTTGTTGATGATCCAAAAAGAATAGCGATCAGGTTAGCATTTTAACTATTACTTGTCTTCTATTTCCTTGAAAGTACTAATATTTACTTCACTATAGTGTCTAAATTCTATGTGAATCATGTATGACGTGAAGCTTAGATGCTGTTTGAGCTTCATACAATCTGACTTCACAGGTACCTGTCCACATGGTTCATGTTTGATGTATGTTCGACATTTCCCTTTCAAACAATCAGCTTCTTCTTCAATAGACATGGTAATAGCCTTGGCTTTAAACTTCTAAGTATGCTTAGGCTGTGGCGGCTGCATCGTGTCAGTTCCCTGTTTGCTAGGTCTGTTTCTCCTCCCATTCTGCAGTATATATATCACCAATAAAAGAACAAATATTATTTTGATAATTTTTCTTTCCTCAGACTTGAGAAGGATATTCGGTTGAATTATTTCTGGACACGGTGCACAAAGCTTTTCTCTGTAAGCTTCTTATTCAGTGTGTTGCCTCAAACAACTCCACAAGTTCTCAGTACAATAACTTTTTGTACTACAGGTGACTCTTTTCACGGTTCACTGTTCTGGATGCTTTAACTATATGATTGCCGATAGATACCCTGACCCAGGAAGAACCTGGATCGGTGCAGTGATACCAAACTTCAGGGAAGATAGCCTGTGGAGCAGATATGTAACATCGATATACTGGTCAATTACAACACTAACAACTACGGGTTATGGTGATTTGCATGCTGAAAACACAAGAGAAATGCTATTTGATATTTTCTACATGTTCTTCAATCTGGGTTTGACAGCTTACCTCATTGGAAATATGACGAACCTTGTTGTCCATGGGACAAGTCGCACAAAAAGCTTTGTATGTCCTATCTCCTCCAAGTTTGTTATAGCTGTCTTATTTTGCGTCAGCTACCCTATACCTGCTTATTTACTAGAATAAGCATAAATATCATAGCATGCATCACCAGTACTTGCAAGATACTGTAAAAAGTCCATAACCCAGAACATAAAGTGTGTCGTTTTTAATCATCTGGTTGCACAAGTCATTCTAGAGAACTAGTCTAATAAAAAAGATTTTCTGTTTCTTAAATCTATTTCATTGATAGGATCAATTGAAATGCATGATCACTTTGGCAAAGGGTTAAGAGAACTATTGAAATAGCTTGAAGAATATATACCAGAACTATTCAACAGAGGATTTGGATTTCATATTCTGTTAGTAAGTGTTCATTATGATCTTCAGAGGGACACCATTCACGCGGCTTCTGAATTTGCATCAAGAAATAAGCTACCAAAACACATAGGGGAACAGATGCTATCTCACATATGCTTAAGATTCAAGACAGAGGAACTCAAACAGCAAGAGACTCTTGATGGTCTCCCGAAGGCCATTCGCTCAAGCATAGCTGAATGTCTATTCTTTCCCATTGTTCGAAGAGTATATCTTTTCCAGGAGGTCTCCTACAATCTCATTTTTCAACTGGTGAGGCTTACAATCCCAAGTGATCAATTACAACCTAGGCAGGTTGAATTTATGCATTGTGCTGATAAGACCATTGTGAAACTAATAGGTGACAGAAATGCAAGCGGAGTATTTTCCACCAAAAGAAGATGTGATACTTCAGAATGAAGCCCCAACAGATCTATATATAGTAGTATCGGGAACAGTGGTTAGTACAATTTCGTCTCTTTTGCAATCTTTGCTTAAGCCTGTCGTGAAGATATTTGAATCAATTCCTCCCATAAATATGACTAATTTTTGCTTGACATCTTGTCTGTAGGAGATGAGAACACATGTGGATGGGGTTGACAAGGTAAGACTCATAGAACGAGTACCGATAAGCACATTAGGATGTCCAATGTTGACAATATCAAGTGTGACCACTTACCAATTTCAGGTTCATGAGAGGGTAACTGCAGGGGAAGTATTTGGGGAGATAGGAGTTCTCTGTCACATACCACAGCCATTCACCATAAGAACCATTGAACTTGCACAAATTCTCAGGCTGAGCAGGTCTGTATTTTTCAGCACTATTCGAGAAAGCAAACAGGATGCAACTATTGTCATGAGAAATCTTTTCCAGGTATATTCAAGAATCGCCCAGAACAGTTTAACTAAATATAGAACATGATTTAGCATTTTTGGCATATGTAGGAGTTGATGTTTCTCTATTTTAAATCTTATAGAAGTTAAGGCTACATGCAAGGTTATATCCCGGAGTACAGCAAAATGACCCAGGAGCACTCCTCAAAGAATGGTTTGACATAGGACCAACGAACATGAACGGGAACCATGCTCAAGATGGAGTTCATTATCAAGTTCAGAACCTACATGCACTAGAACAGATGGATGGAGGAAACTTGCTATCTGAGGCAGAAAATAACAAGGATATCAGCATTGTTGATGAACTTCCAATTGGTCAGGCCAATCCAAAACTAGACCATGCTGATCAACAAACTGGGTTCCCTACATGGGGAGGACACAACAAAACCAACAACATTCCACTCAAACAAGCAGAAGCAGTTGACAAAGCTGATAGTATCAGGTGGAGACAAAAAGATAAACATGAGAAATATGACAATGAGGGTGCATTTGAGCTTTTATCAAGTATTGGACACAGGAAAAGCTTCCTTGGAGAACATGAACTAGAATCTGTTGACATGATAGCATCTGAAAATGGAATTAACTTTAAGAGCCATGGCAGCAGGGAAAGGAATTCCTGGTATCATTATCCAAATATTAATCAAATGTTGATAACTTCTTATTTACAAAGTGGCAGCCATGTTTCAGAGAACAATATCATGAAACTATCTAGCAAAAGAGTGACCATTCAAATGTACTCTCAAAAGGAAAATCCAGCAAGACAGCCAACTGCAAAGATGATAAAATTACCTGGCACAATGGAGGAGCTCCTAAGAATTGGTGGTGAGTATTCTGACCTAATTTTTAACAACAGCAAAAAAAAGAAAAAGAAAAATATGCAAGTGCTACTGGACAATTATAGGCTAGTATTAGTTTTCTAACTTAAATAATCTATGAAGACAAAGAAGAATAAAAATACGCTTCAAAGTGTAAGTCAGAAATAGTTCATGTGTTACATTTTTCATTGCTGTAATCAGGGTCTTGCAAAAAGCTGCAGGTGAGAAGTTTGTGGGACATCATCCTACAAAAGTGATCAACCAAGAGAAAGCAGAAATTGATGATATTAGTGTAGTTCGTGATGGGGATCATTTATATTTCCTAGAGATTTAGGAGTAATAGCAAGACTGTCAGAAAGGTTATGACCCATCTAAGATTCAACGCAAAGGCATTGTTCCCACACACTTAAAGATGTAAAGTTGAGCAATGTTTATGATAAATGCCAGACTATGTCACAATTTCCAACTAAATTATCTTTGCTTGTAATAACTAAATGAATAGTTGCTATTAGAGTATACGATCTATGCTTTCTTCAAGATTATTCCTTGTGGGCAACACGATAAACCAATAAAAATCATATGCTAGAACATTTTGTTAAATTCAAAAATAATCCAAATCGGATAAGTTACTTCCAGTCACTTCGGAAAAGAAGACAATTTACTTATAACCCACACATTTAAGACTGGACATTCCATATAAAGAGCCTAGCACATAGAAAGACTTTATGAAGATTAAAAAATAATAATCAAATGACTGACTTTTGCATGATAGGATGACTGTTGCTCATTATGTATTATAAGGCTAAATCAGGATACTTCAAACCTTAAACTTACCAGAAAAGAAGTTTGATTACATGAGTACTTCTGTACTGTCAAAAAAATTAACCAGCCTACACATATCAATTGCAAATATATATTTTTCCCATGGGATATATGTCCTTGCTTTTTTATCAGATATTATATTTTTGTTACAACTGCTGTGAATAGAATGCTGTAGTGATTATACATATATCAGGATGCATCAATGCATGCAAATGTTTTCATAAACATATAATATATAGATATAGCTGACTACAAATACAACATAGTTGGCAGACATAGATACAAATGATTGTTTTATGTGAAGTAATAAGACTTATAAGAGATACTTAAGTCTATAAAGAGATCAATATCATTTTGAACATGAGCATGCAGGTAGGTATGATCATTCAGAAGTAGATAAATGTGCATGTAGTCATATACAGGCACAAATTCATTTTATATATTTTCATATACAGATGTACAGTAACTGCAGAGAAGACAATTATATGTGGCAAAGGCAGTCCACCATTACCAATTTTAAAGCAGAATTCTGGGTTTTGACATCACTTGATCGGGAGATATCCTTGTAGATAAAATGCCAAATAGGATGAGGCATTAACATGCTAATTAGAAAATATACTATACCTGAAAATCTTAAGCTATTAGGCTATGTATTAATTCCATATATTCGTCAGCTAATATATGTATATATCAGATTATTATTGTTACATATCTTCAACATTTTTGCGTTGTAATATAATGTTATTCACTCTAGGAACAAGAATGATGTTCTTGCCATCCCTAGATATTTCCTTGAGAATTTTTACCTAAATGAACCGAAATAATAGCAAAGTATCCTAAGAAACTAGGATAATGATAGTAAAACCCTACTAAAGCAGATAATGAAACTGCTTTGTTAAGAATTAGATGTCATCACCATTTTCTACATGACTTTGTCAAACACTTCTTCTGTCTCAGCGGCCCCCCTTTTCAGTACTCCAGCTTAAATCGACTTGTAGTGTGCACCTACAGATGAATTATGAATATAATTTGCCCGACGCTCAGTTAATTATTTTCTTACTCTTTGATGTTTGTCGTTTTCGCTAAATGATATCTTGAATAAGCAAAGAGACAAAGAAAAATGAAAATCAAGCGTCCAAGACGTGGAGAAACTCCGGATCGATTACAGGAGAAAACGACTCAATGATCAGCTAACAAATTCTCATTTATAGATAGTTGGTAAGAAAAAAGTATTCCAAGCAATTAATATGCATCACATATCTCTTACTCAATTCGAGTTCCTCGACTTACCATTATTTGATTGCCTTTATCCTACAGCAAAATGTTAAGCAATCAAACATGAAACGGAGAAAGCACAACGACGTTTAGTTCACAATAGCCAAACCTAACTCTATATTCCTTGGGTTCAACAAGAACATATCGATGGGTAACGAGAGATGGCAGGTTTCAGAACGACTAACTTGTAGCGATTCAGATTCTTCCCACCAAGATCATCGAGAAGGCGTAACAGCTACAGCGATTCAGCAACAAGAACGAATTATGAGGAGCTAAAGATTTCCCCATCATTCAAGCACGAACACGACGAGCAAGGGGAAGAAAAAGAAAAAGTATTCACCAAGCAGCTTCGAGTCCTGGACGTGTCGCGATCGCCACAGCTTCCGTTTCTTCTTCCGGGAGGGTCGAGGTGGGGTGAACTCGACATGGGCTCGAGCGATCGAGGTGGGCTTATAGTGGGTGGGCGTTGGGCTTCTTTTATCGTGTGGTCTATTAACAAGTTCGAGTCTTGATGATCTCGTGCAGGGATCTGTGTAATTTCGCCACAGCAAGGTTGCAGCACCGATGAAATGTCACGACTTGAGTCGGGATCTTCTCACTAGTATTTGAAGATCATGGTTGAAGGCTATCGAGGTTGGAATTCGAAGCATCTAATTGAAGGCTCAGTTGTACAGGATCTCACTTGACTTGTTCACCTTAATGATGTGATTTTTGGGTGTTGCTAATTGATCATAGGTTTCTCCATGCGGACAACACACTACAGAATGTTGTAATGCTGATATGCGAACACAGGAGCCCAACGCTGGCAACCAATAGGAGGCGATGTCACGAAACTTTGCTACGTGGGTCCTCCCCACACATGAGAGAAACTGTGTTTCCTGTTTCAGCCTGAGAGGTAATCTCCGCCCACCTAATTTCCGGTCTCATATTTAACTTTGGCCCCCTCCACCTAAAGCTACAACCGTACGTTTCTACAACGGTTCGTTCAGCTGTCATTTGATCCCCCTCTCGTACGACCATTCACGACGCGCCACGCGTGCTAGTTTTAACGGCTACTCCACTCAAAAGAGGGTCCCACTCTCGCGCCGTCGTTCGAAAGTTTTCGCCCCTTCCCCCTTCCCAACGGCTCTGTCTCGTCCTCTCCCATCCTTTCTCTCTCTATATATGCCTCCCAAGCTCTCTCACATTCACAACAACCCAAGCGCTCTCTCTCTCTCTTTCTCTCTGGCACTGGTGTATCAGAGAGAAATGGAAGCATTGATGATGAAGGTACCTCTGCTTCTTCTGCTACTTGTATCGATCGCAGTCGTTCATGCGCAGGAAGCTCCAGCGCCAGCGCCGACCATGGAGAGCGGATCGACCGCGGCGGTACCTGGTCTCTGTGTGCTGGTTCTCACCACCATGGCTTCTCTGCTCGCGGCCTTGACTCGCTGAGGGCCATCCTCTCATGGCTCGTTCCACATGGATTACACCGATTCTGTGTGCCCGTTATGTTCTTGTGCGGCTATACTACTACATGTCTGTTGTGCTGCTTTGTGTAGGAATTATTTGATCCCGTTTCAATTAATATGCTTCAAGTTTGCAAAACTATTTTGTTTCTGAAAAATACAGTGTATGGGTGATGAAAAATCCGAATATGCAGTTAATTGATACTGATAAATTTACATAATTCCAAGTACAAAGTCCTCATGTTGGCGAATGGGCTGATATTGGAAGCCCAATAGGTTACACTGGACTTAGTCCAAGCAACAATTTTAATTTAAAAACGCAATTTAAATAAAAAAAATTACTGCTTTCTTTTTATATATATACTATCCATATTGACCACATTTTGCTAATGCGATGTATTTTCTAATATGTCTTGAGGATCAAGACATATTAGAAAATAAGATTCATATCCTTAAAATAAGATTCATTCACATATTGGGTCAAGGATGAATCCTAAATACACACAAAGACATGTTTTCGTACTTGAGTTCATCTTGTAGGTGAATCTGACTTGATAAGTTCCTGTAGCTTACAAGTGCTGCGTATTGTGAAGCCCAGGATGAGTAGCTCTTCACATCCTACTTATGTTCTTGATAGATGATATTGTCAATGGTCCCTCCATCTCAGGAATGCTGGATTGCACTCCGGTGTCTATCTTCACAGACTCTTCATCCGACCACATGAACTGCGTCGGCCAATATTGTTCACCACAAGATCCACATCCTGCACGGTCCCTATCCAAAGGGTTTAACTCGCCACTTGGTTCTCCTCATGAATACGTGTGCTGTCTTACCTCTCTTTAGCATCGCCATTTGCAAGTCAACACAGCCACATTTCCTGTGCTTGAGAATGTACAGCTGCACTACAACCTTTACATTATTAGTGATGCGCATTTCCTTTGCTTTAGAAAGTACAGCTCACTACAGCCTTTACGTCATTAGTGATTGCAGGTATCTTGCGAAGTAAATTGAAATCTAGTGCGCATTCATCATCTTCATCAAAATGATAGGAGACATAAGTCGATCTATAAACGCTAAATTAATCTACTAGAATAAATTTGGACTTAACATTTTAGTCCATGCTTGATGCTCCTTATGTTAATAGAATGGTTATTCTATTGTATTGTATTGTGTTATGAAAATTGTCACATCTTCCATATTTACATTAAAAGTCAAACAAATAAATATTATTTCTATTAATATAATATAAATTATAAATATCTATTATTATTTATTTATTTATCAAAATACAAGTCAAAAGTAGTTATAGACTTTATTTAGAAATAACTTAAAAAAACCCAATTAACTCCATCTAATAATAGAGAAAGGTCTACTCTTCACTAAAATTTAATAAAAAGTAAAACAAATATATCAAATATTCTATTAATGTATATAAATACATGTTCAAAAGTTAATTATTTTATTAACATATATCAAATACCAAGATAAACACTCTCCAAACAATAGATAAAGATGCTTTATCCTATTGGATGAGTTTATATTCTCCCAACAACATATGAATACAAATCCATATTATACTCCTAATAATAAATAGAATAGTATCTCTTACTTACCAAAGTGGGGATACATTCTTCTCAATAGTGAACGAAGAAATCGTCCAATTGTTATGTTTGATAACTCGTTAATTCATAAAGAAAATCACCCTACTTTCTTCGGTAAAAAAATAAAGTCATCTCATATTGATCATGTCCATATTAAGATAAAATAATATATTGAAATATCTTAATTTATTTTTTAATATCATTAATATCAAATAATATCAATTACTCATTTGACTTTAACACCAGCTCAATTAGTCTAATTGGCTCGATTTAATTAGAACATGATTGAACTAATCTCTAATTCTCGTTTAATTAGTCTAGAGCTAACTTAGATTGATATAATTTAGATTATATTAGGTTTAATTTAGGTTAAATAATCTTGAATAAGTCAAATTGGTTTGGAATCATCCTAGATCAATCTAAATTAGTGAGCCCAAATTAAACAAAGTAAGAATAATGAGTTAGATTATATACAACTAGATTCAGTTGGGTCAACCCATGTATTAACTATGCATGTACTATATTGAGCTAGGCCAGCCTTGGTTATGTGCACTATATATTACTTGTCATGTTGGGTTGGATTGAACTAGCTTACTGGTTGGGGCCTAATATATTATCTCTCGATCCGAATGGTGCTGATAATGAATCTTTATCAATGGTGTAACTTTATTCATCTGAACATGCTATTTTCTTTCAAAATCTAGATTGGTTGTCATTTTAATATGATATTATCCTTTAGTTACATATATATATAGGTAAGAAATGGCATAGGATGGATATTTGATATATCTCCAAAGTATAGAGATATGAATTATATCATGGATACCAGCTAAAGCCAACAATAATGTCAATCTATATGCCACATGTCTAACCTTCTTTAAGATCTCAAATAGACCAATGAACCTAGGGGCTAACTTCTTTCTTTGACCAAACCTTATGATTTCTTTGGTTGACGATACCTTAAAAAGAAATATGATCACCAACTTTAAACTTTGTTTGATTTGCATAACTTTTTTTGGATAATTTTGGACTGTTAATAATCTCTAATGTATAGTTCAAACATTATTAGTATCTATTTGAATTAACTAAGGCCTCGAAGGTTTATGTTCTCCCACCTCATCTTAATACATAGGTACCTGCACTTTCTCCTATAAATAGCTTCAAATGTGACCATATGTATACTAGAGTTTTAGTTATTATTGTAAGCAAACTTAATTAGGTATAAATGTATATCATAATTTTTACTAAAGTTTAAGGCACGAACTCTTAAGAAGTATTCAAGAGTTTGTATTATTCTCTCAAATTGATCATAGGATAAATAGTATTTTATAGATTTTTCTAAAAGTTAAAGGTGAATTTTTGATCTAGTATTTTCTAAAATAGTATTATCTCTATTAGAGATAATACTAACTGATACCATATTGAATAATCTCTTTAATGTATAAATTTATTAATTTATCCAAGAGATATCTTTTGTTAATAGGAAGGAAGTGAACAAATTTAATGAGTTTGTTTATTACTATATAAATTTTATCATATTAGTCTTAGGTAGTCTTGTCATAAAATCCATAATAATATACTCCAACTTGAATTGAAATCTTTTATAATCTTTTCACTAGTACACTTATGTTCCGCCTTTGCTTGTAAATCTTCATACCGCACCACTAGTAGCTTTGATGTAAATCCTAATATATCTTAGTAGTTCTAGGATGGATATTAAATCTTGATTTGTAGATCTTCTCTAATTGTTTATAGAGATCCATAAAGACAACTAGTATATTAGTGAGTTCGAAAGACATTATTAAAAATTTATAATAATCACATCTTATTCTAATAATAGTTTTCTATTTATTTTTGTTTTAATTAATGATAAGTAAACCCTAAATCAATCTTCGAATATACGTGAGAATCTTAAAGTTGATCAAATAGATTATCTATTGAAGGAAAAAGATACTTATTATTTATTATCACTTGGTTGAGCTATTTATAATCGATGCATAATCGCATGAATCCATTTTTTATTTTCACAAATAGGATAGATGTACCACGAGATGATATACTGAGTTGAATAAAGCCCTTGTATAATTACTCATAAATATGTTTCTTTAACTTCTTCAATTCAATTAGTACCATTAGATTTAAAAATAGATAAAGTACTAGATAGAAGATCAATATAAATTCAATCTTCATGTTAAGTGATAATCTAAGTAGATATTCAAGAAAAATATCTAATAAATCTTGTACAATAAGGATATCCTTTAATATTGATTTCTTAGATTCTTATCTGAAAATAAATGTCAAGTATCCTTGACATTCATTCAATAATAATTAAATAGCACTCAAGACTGAAATAAGATGAATGAGGTTTTCATAAATTCTAGTAGACTGAAAGAGTGGTTAATATAGAAAGTAACAATCTTTTGAAAATAAAAAAACATGTTATTCATTTTATATCGAGTTTCTAAATTTTATTAATAAGAATATTGAAATAACATTAGGACCCTCTCAACTTGAAATATTGAATATTTTTCTAAATTTTATTAATAAGAAAGAAAATAAAAATATGCTTAAATAAAGGGATTTGATTACAAAAATATTATTAGAAGTGAGAATAGAAGTTTCATTTTAGGTTGTGTTGGACTTTTAATAGCCATATCAAACTACTAAATTGTATCGAAACAAATAGTATTGACCATAAGGGTCTAAATAAATAATATTACTCTCATTTACACCAAATAAACATATGATTGGAAGTTAAAGATTTACTTCTATACCCACATTGGTGCTATACTAGCATGAAAATATAATTATACATTATTTTTGCGACCAAACCTACTTATTAGAATGAGTCATGTTTGTAAATTAGCGAAAACATTGAACTTTAAATAAGGAAGACTGTAACATCTTACTTAATCGTGCTTTGTCCAGAAATGAGGATGATGATAATATCTTATTCTAATCCAAATCGAATGTGGAAGGCGACATGAGCATATTCATAAATGCTTAATTAGTATACTATTACTAATATGTGATTACACATTTGCAATCGGAGATCTCAGCTCTTACATTACTCCTTTTTAACCTATAGCACACTCAATACGTGCACAACACGTGGATAGGATGGGTAACGAGTAATAAGCCGATTGCATTCCTTGGTCAAAGCAATCCCGACCAACCCGGAGCATCTGGTTTTTCCTTATGGGTGTCGCGGAGATTCCCGGTCAAACAAGAAGGAAGACCACCTCTCCTTTTGACCCCAAGCCATTCACGCCGAGCTCGGGATGTTGACTTCTGAGGTCCATGGAAGATCCAAGGACCGCATTAATAAAGGCTCGAGAAGACGAGGAGTGTAAGCAAGGTAGGAATCCCTCCATCCCATTACTACACTCCGTGATCAGTGCAATTCCATGGAGAATGACAGCATAAGGAACTTGCTGTGTGTGCGCGGTTGTTTGCAACGACGACTTATCCCTACGTAAAAGAAGGTCAAACTATGACTCGCTCTGAGAGTCACGGAGGACAGTGATGGGCACTTCATGGCAGAAAGCTGTATTGACTTCGGATGCTTCGAATGTTGCGGCATTTCTTTGTGCATTGATGGTGTGGACTGTGAATGCAATTAATCTGAATCGATTACGTAACCATAAACAAGAAAACATTCCCTTCTTTACGGATCGGCATCTCTACACACGTGACTATTTGGTGAGTTGACTGCCAGCGGATGACTCCATGTTATCCGATATGCTTTTGACTACCGCACTGCATCTTCGAGAAGAGACATTTGATTCATTCAACACCTAATCTTTCCTACTGCGTTAGCATTTTATTTTCTCCTATTCTAAGATGTCGTTACCATAGTTTTCAACATGCCGAATCTTTCTTCACCATCAAACCTTGAATGACTATGGATTTCAGTGTATTTTCGGCTATATTCTAAGTCCACTTGAATCCTTAAAATCATTCAATTTGAATTTATTTATGAGTATACTTAAAATATTAGTCTGATGATATACGAGGATTTGAGAGCGTTGATGGTGCAATAAATAAGACATTTCTTCCAAATATTTCTACTTTTCGTTTCGACCATTCATTTTGGTCAAAACAAAGATTAAGATTAGGATGAGCAAGTTTTTAGAATGACTTTAATGCAGTATAATCTACAAGATATAATCTTCTTTTGTCACTGGTATGTATGGTTTGCCTATATAAGGCCTAGGAAACCACTCCTCACTCATGCAAATCCTTCCCCAGCGTTCCAACACAAACACCTTCCTCTGTCCTAACTCTGTTCTTCTACAGCCATGGTGGTCTTAGCCGACGAAGTACTTGATCAGATACCTCTCATTAGGTCTCCGAAACACGGGTCTAACGTCTCCGACATCCCCGTCGTCGACCTATCGATGCCTGGATCCGCGGAAGCTCTCGTCGGGGCCTGCGAAGAGTTGGGTTTCTTTAAGGTCGTCAACCATGGGGTCCCCGTAGAGCTCGCGCAGAGGTTGGAGGCGGAGGCCATCAAGTTCTTCGCCTTGCCTCAGCTGGACAAGGAGAAGTCCGGTCCTCCCAATCCTTTCGGTTATGGGAATAAGACAATTGGTCCTAATGGTGATGTCGGGTGGGTCGAGTACCTCCTCTTTGCCATCACCTCGGCGCCCTTGTCTTATACATCAATGTCCTTCCTCGAGGAGCCCTCGGCGTGTTCCTTTCGGTAAGAACAGCAAGAGTAATAAGCACTGCTAAGTTGCCAACCACTGCTTTCTTCTTAGTTTGTTGCTTTGCTTTGTGGACGACGCTGCAGCTCTGCTTTGAAGGAGTACTTACTAGCTATGAGGAAGTTGGCCTCTGACCTGCTAAGGCTGATGGCCGAAGGGCTAAAGATCGAACCAAGAGATGCTTTCAGCAGGTTAGTGATGGGCGAACAGAGTGATGGAATATTTAGGCTGAATCACTACCCAAAATGCCCTATTCTGGAGAAGCTCAACTGCAGCTTGACTGGTTTCGGGGAGCACACAGACCCGCAGATCATCTCGGTCTTAAGATCGAACAGTAGCACCGGCCTGCAGATATCGCTGAAGGATGGGAGCTGGGTCGCAGTCCCACCAGACCAAGAATCCTTCTTCATCAACGTCGGCGACGCTCTCCAGGCAAGAATCTAACCCATCCATCTTATCGATCATTCTATGTTCTTCTTCCCTGTAGCCCTCAGCTATAAGACTGTGTATGTGATGGCTGGTACGCAGGTTCTGACGAATGGGAGGTTCAGGAGCGTGAGGCACAGGGTGTTGGCCAACGGTTTGAAGTCGAGGGTGTCGATGATCCACTTCTTTGGGCCATCTCCCGCAGAGAGGATTGCACCATTGCCACAGCTGATGGGGGAAGGGGAGCAGAGCAAGTACAGGGAGTTCACATGGGGCGAGTACAAGAAGGCTTCCTATAAATCAAGGCTGAGCGACGACAGGCTCGGCCAGTTCGAGAAGTAGGAGGAGGCCATTGATGCCTCGCTGGTGCTGCCGTGCCGTGCCGTGCCGTGCTGTGCTAGCTTTCCTGCGCTCAGCTTTTGGGTCGGTCAAAAGGCAGGCGCGGGTACATGGCTTTGCTCGTTTCTCGCCAAATTTAGCAACAAATATGTTCTCCTTGTTTCTTTCTTTTCCTCCTCTTACTCCCTTCTCCTCCTTCTTAGGAAAAGCCTTTTTCTCATGTACAAATCCAACTCTTTTACTACTAAATCCTCAGAGAGGTCCTTCTCAAACTTAAGTGTCCACATCCTTCTTTTAATAATTCTAACACATTGTATTATTTACTCTCTCTCTCTCTCTCTCGATATATATATATATATATATA